GACTGAGGCGCGCGCGCGGTGCTGCTGCTAGCTGGAGCGTGGACTGGAGGCATACGGTACTCTGTCAATTGACAGGCCTTTTGTACGTACATGCCACCACCCCTTGTGAGCGCACAGCTCGACCGCGACACTGCTCACTGCACACTGGACGGGTCGCCGCGAGGGCGAGCGGCGCCGGACTCAACAGGCCATACTGGGTCTGAGGTCTGAGGTACTCTGAGCGAATCACCACGCCGGCTGCCCGTCGCCGCGCTTGGGCCCCGTCCCCGGGATGTAGGGCCGCGCCGTCGTCGCGCCCGCCGCCCGCTCGTCGCCGAGTACGCCGAGCGTCAGAAACACCACGCGGACGCAGTTTGCGAGCACGGCGGCCCTGAGCGGCGTGCGCTGCGGGTCGGCGCCGACGAGGTCGTCCACCGAGAGGTCGCCGAGCGCGGCGCCCCCGCCAACCTTTCTCCGCACCTCCTCCACCAGGGGAGAGTACTCGTCGCGCGCGCTCGCGTCGACGCTGGTAGCGGCAAGCAGCGCCTCCCCGCCGTCCCCGCCGTCCCCGCCGTCCCCGCCGTCCCCGCCGGGCGGCGCGGCTGCCCCCTCCGCCTCGAGGGTGAGGTAGACGAGGGAGAGCCACAGCGTCCGCAGCTCCGCCTCCTCCGGCAGCAGCGGCCGGCCTGCGGTCGAGTGCTCCGCTTCGCATGCCGCGACCGCGGAGCCCAGCGCAGGCAGCGGCACCCCGAGCCGGTAGCCGCCCACAGCAGACGCGATGAAGAGCTTAAGTGTGGTGACGTCGCCGCGCGCCGCGTCCATGCAGGCACGGACAAAGGTGGCCTCGACGAGCTCGGCGACCTTTGACAGGGTGAGCGGAGCCGGAGGCGGAGTGCCCTCTGCTGCCACCGCCAAGCGGACAGACGGGGTGCAGAATAGCGTGGGTGAGGCGAGGCGAGTGACCGCGTCGCAGCGAGACCAGCAGCCCGAGAGCGGGGAGGAGAGGGCCGCCGAGAGGGCCGCCTGCGCTAGTAGACCAGCGGCCATTTTCCGCGAAAAGAATTCTGAATATTCAAACTCCTTGCTTCGGGGACACACGATTCCAGAAATGGTGGTGTCCCCGTTCCTCGCTCGCCCGGGCGGAGGGCATGGCCGCGGAGGAGTCGAGTACACGCTTGCCAGGCCTTCCTCAGACAGCCTCTCGGGCAGACTGAGGGTCGGCTTTGCGTGGCGTGGCCCGTACGCTGCGCTGCGCAAAGCTGCGTATGCGGAGGGAGCATCTGGTGCTTCCACCGGGAAGTGCGCACCTCCTGCAGCTGGTGGAAGGCCGTGCCGCCGCTCGCCTGCTCCGTGGACAGGGCGGGGAGGCGGCGCCGCAGCGCCGCAGCATCCGCTGCACGCCGGTGCAGCACTCTGCTGCCTGGTGGGCAGCATGCTGGTGCTGTGCGCGGTGTTTGCGAGGCGGCTTTGGCGCTGTACTGCCAGCCGAGGCGAGTGGCGCGAGGCACGCGCGGCGCCGCGCGTGGCCCGGACGGAGCCAGAGAGCGCGCTCGATGAGCCAGCCGGCGCGGCGCGAGCGCCGTGCAAGCTGGCACATCGTCTGCATGCTGCCGTCAATTCTCTGGTCGACGGCGGTCAATCTCACGATTGTCGATCAAAACCGGCGGGCTTTGTGACGCCGTTTACGCAATCGTTTTTTTGGCTTCGCTTTCTCTTTTGCTTTTTGTTAGACAGATAGCCAGTTAGTTCTTTAACCCCTCAGCGAGGCCACGCCAAAATTGAGGCGCGCCGTCACCATCGGAGCGACTGCCTCCCACGCATTCGTACCCAAGCCGTACCGCTCGACCGAGCTGAGGGCGTTGTAGCCGACATCCGTTCCGCCCACCGCATACAACCTGCCGTCCAGCACCGCCACGGCGAGCTTATACCGCGTCTCTGCCATCGGCGCCACCGCTTCCCACGCGTTCGCAGCCGGGTCGTACCGCTCCACCGAGCTGAGGTGGCCATTGCCCGCGCACCCGCCAACAGCGTACAGCTTGCCGTCGAGCACCGCCACGCCGAAACCTGCCCGCCGCACCGCCATCGGCGCCACAGCCTCCCATGCATCCAGCGCGGGGTCGTAACGCTCGACCGAGGTGAGGTAGCCGGCGTTGAAGCCTCCCACAGCGTACAGCTTGCCGTCGAGCACCGCCACGGCGTGTTCCTGCCGCGCCGAATCCATCGTCGCCACCGCCTCCCACGCATTCGTCGCCGGGTCGTACCGCTCCACCGAGCTGAGGTCGCCGTGGTTGAAGCCGCCCACAGCGTACAGCTTGCCGTCGAGCACCGCCACGGCGTGTTCCTGCCGCGCCGTCGCCATCGGCGCCACAGCCTCCCACGACTTCGTAGCAAAGTCGTACCGCTCCACCAGGTTGGAAGTTGCGAGGTCAGCCTCATCCTCGCCATCAGCCTCACTCTGGCCGCCCGCCGCGTAGAGCTACACTCGTGCCGTTGGCATCGGCGCCACAGCCTCCTCCTCCCACTCGTTTGTGGACGGGTCGTACCGCTCCAGCGAGTTGACAACCTCGTCGTCGCTGCCTTCGCCACCGATTACGACCACGCGCGGCCTCTCGCGCTTCTTCAGCGTCTCCTTCCAGCCGCGGCGCGCCACGCGCGGCACGTCCCCTTGACGGCGTGCTCCGTGGTCGGCAGCTGGGCGAGGATGTGCGGGGCGAGGTCCGGCGAGAGGAGGACCTCGGAGAACACCCACTCGGGCTGCTCCACGAGCCGTGTGCGGCGTGCTCCTCCGCCACGCGCAGCGCGGCGTCGCTCGCGCCCGCCTGCGCCTCGATGATGGCGCACAGCTGCGCTGGCGAGAGGCCCGCGACGCGGGCGCCGATGCGGTGGGAGGCCATCGGCGCCACCAGCGGATTTTTCTTTTTTCAGACCACAAAGGGCCCCAAAACAACCGTGTTGTGTGTGTGTGTGTTTGTGTGTGTCACTCACGCCCCAAAACAACCTCCTCACTTGAGCTCGACGAGGTACTCTCTCATCGGCAGGTCGTCGTACCCGTTGACGCCGCCGTGGGCAAAGGCCGGGTCCGCGCCCGCGCCGTCGGGGATGTCGAACCAGCTCACGTCGCCATCCTCGTTGACCGAGTCGAAGAGGCCGGGCGAGCCGTCGTGGTGCGAGCCTGTCCACAGCTACAGGCGTGAAGCAGACGCCATCCCCTGACTAGGCCGGCCGCGCTGGTGCGGGCGCCGAGCAGCCGCCCCTTGGCAACGTAGACAAAGGCGTAGTCGAGGACGTGGTGGTGGGGCTCGCCCGCGTCTCCGCCGCCGGGCGGCAGATAAAAGTCCCACGCGCGGCAGTACTCATTCTCAAAGAGCAGGTCCGTGCCGACGCAGGTCGTGTAGATCGCCGACGAGAGCAGCGCACGCACCACGGCCTCGCTGCGGCGCGGACGCTGCTTGAACTCCCAGCACACCTGCCGCCACTCGCCTTTGCCGGCGTTGCACACTGTCAAGCCCGAGCCGGCCTCGGCCCACGTGACACGCTTATCGGCCACGTGCTCGGCCGGCGGCAGCTCCGCCACGCAGCTCTGTCCCGCATCGCACACGGAGGCGGCGCTGGCCTACAGGGAGGCTCCGAGCAGCTTCCGAGAAGCCTCCAGGCCAGCGCCTCGGTCAGGTGCCCACGCCGTTCACCTGCGCGGGCCTCAAGACTGAGCGCTCGATGCCCTCCTCGACCTGCCACCGGAGCGTCGGGTACTCGTGGCGGTGATCTAGCGAGGCGCCCGGCGGCAGGCGCACGTCGGTGATGCGGAGGCGGGCGCTGTCGAAGAGGACTGTCATCATGCCGCGAGCGAGATCAAAAGAATTTTTCCATCCAGAGAGAATTTCACAACAAAGGCTCTCGCACACGCACGATTCACACGACAGACAAGGCGCAGACGACGGCTTCCTTAGAAGCCATCGTCCTCGCCACAAGAGCCGGCGTCCGAAATCCCCTCCTCCGACACCCGCCCCACCCCACCCCACCCCGGACCCCTCCCCAAAGCCCCACCCCGTCCCGACCCACCCCGCCCTCCCCGCCGGACCCTCCCCAAAGCCGCAATCGACTCCGCCCCCCTCCCGAGCCCCCCATCTGCGCGTGCGCTCGCCACCCGCGCCGCCGTCTCCCCCATGCGCACTTGCGCCAGCAGCCGTCCCGCCTGGCGCCTCGCCCGCCGCCGGCCGCCTCGACCGCGCTCATGCTTGCTGCCATGAACGGCCAAGAGCAGCTGGTCGAGCTGGCATTGCGGCACGGCGTGGAGATGAACCAGCGAAACGGCGGGTCCGGCGGTACGGCGCTGATGGACGCCGCCTACAGAGGCTACGAGCGGATTGTCGACATGCTGATCCGGCGGCGCGGAGGTCAACCTACAGGCGAGCAAGGGCGACACTGCGCTGATTCTCGCAGCGCTTTACAATTATCCCGGCATCGTGCGCAAGCTGCTAAGGGCGGGCGCAGATATGACGCTGCGCTCGAGGAACCCGCGGCGTCGAGGGCAGGAGGGCATAGATGTGACGCGGCGCATCAAGACGGACCAGACAGCACTGCAGCTTGCCAAGGACGAGGGCCACACCGAGTGCGTGCGCGCCCTCGAGGAGCACGCGGCGGCCGAGGCAGCGGCGGAGAAGGCGGCGGCCGAGGCAACGAGATCTGCGGAGGCTGCGAGGGAGAGGGCGGCTGCCGAGGCGGAGGCGGCGCGGCATGCTGCCGCGCTGCTGGCGGAGGAGGCAACGGAGCGCGCGAGTGAGGAGAACAAGAGGGGCAAGAAGAAGAAGGGCAAAAAGGGGAAGGGTGGTGCGGGGCCGTCGCCGGAGCTTGAGGCGGCGGGGCCGCAGCAGCTGGCGGAGCTAGGGGTGGCGCTCCATGATGAGAGTGCGAGATTGGACCAGGGGGAGAGGTGGGCAGCAGGCGAAGCGTCTGACTCATCTCTACAGCCAGCGCACGACCAGGCAGAGGGGCCGGCGGAGAGCGAGGGGGCGGCGGAGAGCGAGGTGCCGCCCGAGCTGCAATGCCCGCTCTCCTTCGAGGTCATGGAGGACCCGGTTATCTGCGCTTCAGGGCAAACCTACGAGCGGTCTGCCATCGAGAAGTGGTTCGCGATGGGCAAGCGCACCGACCCAATGAGCGGCGCGGTGCTCGAGCATACGCACCTCGTGCCGAACGTGGCAGTGCGCAGCATGTGTCGCAGGCACTCTAGCGCGAGTTCGTGACCGGCCGCCGGGAGGCCCTGCCACCCTGCCGCGGGCAACGGGACACAGGTCCTGCGAGTTGTCGGTGGAGCGGGTCGCCGCCCTCCTGATCGTGCCTCTCCACTCGCCCCCGAAGGCGGCGAGAGCTCAGATATGGAGATAATCAACCGCACTCGTCGAAGTTTGAGTCCACAGCGCACAGGTGATGTGGATGACTTTAGCTCAAATAATGCAACTGTTAGTTCATGTTCAAGCTTCAACACGAAGGTTGGGGTGTTACCTCTGGAGATGTAATCGGCTTTTATTTTATTAACTCGCTCACGAGCGAGAGTGGAGTCTGGAGATCAGTAGAGCACCCAGTTGGTGGCGGCGCTCATCAGCGCGGTGCTTCCAATGTTGTCCTGCTTGTCGATCTGTGCGCTGCACCGAAGTAGCAGGTCGACCACCCGCTCGTGGCCGTCGTAGGCAGCGAGCATCAGCGCGGTGGCGCCGTCGCTGCTCTGCAGGTTGTTGAGCGCCGTGCTCCAGCAGCAAGGCACAGCCACCCGCTCGTGGCCTTGGCCGGCGGTGTCCATCAGCAGGGTAACGCCGATTACTTCGCCATTCTCGCGCGTGGCGTTTGCTCGCCCGCCTCTCTCGAGCCACGAGCGCACCGCCGCTTCGTCGCCTCGCAACACTGCATCGTCGCCCGCCTTGCATCGACATGCATCAGCCAGAGGCGCCTCACGTCGCAGTGCTCGTGGCTCGAGAGAGGCGGGCAACAGAGGGTAGGGGTGGGGAAGACGGCGAGGAGGGGGCGGCGGCGGCGGCGGCGGCAGCGCGCGCGCGGCGCTCGCGACGGAGGGGCGGAGCAGCGACCGCTGGCGCGGGCGCTGCTCCGTCTGTGCCAGGGACGCACGCTCTGCGCCGCTGCACAGAGCCGCGCGTCCGGCAAGGGGGGGCAAGCGTGGCGGCGCGGGACGCGCGGCGGCGGCGGCGAGCAGCCGAGCGCTCGCCTCTGAGCGGGAGCCGAAGGTTTGCTGCGGTGGTGGTGGTGGTGGGGTGGTTTTGACTTTGCCGCAGAGGCCGTCCCTAGCTGAGTAGCTGTGAACAGCAAAAACGGGACAGTATCAAGGCAAAGAATGCCGTGTGAATGGAGGTTGGGAGGATGGAGCCCAGTCCCCAGAGCGCAGAGGTGAGCTCATACACACGCACACCGCCGCGCGCGCCGCATGCAAGATGCATCCGCACACACGCGCGGTTGTCTTGCTGAGCACACAACTACGGCCCTTGTCAGCTGTCTGCTTTGACTCCACCCTCAACGTGCCGCCGCAAGTCCCCCCGCCGCCACTTCCGGCTGCAGCACGCCCTCACACCCCAGCTCGGTCAGCTTCTTGAAGGCGGCGCCAAACTCGCGCGCGAGCATCGCCTGCCCGTTCGGCAGCTCGACGAGTGAGGCGGCGCCTCCCTCCCGCACGGTTGCCCTCACCTCTCCTCTCTTTCTCCTGCCTCGACGCGCTCGTCTGCGGCGTATGTGCCGGCTGTGCCTCGGCTGTGTCTCGGCTGCATCTCGGCTGCATCTCGGCTGCATCTCGGCTGTATCTCGGCTGCGTCTCGGCTGCATCTCGGCTCCATCTGGGCGCCTCGTCTGCGGCAAACGCCTCGAGGTGCACGCGGAAGTCCGGGTCCCACGCCAAAGCCATGTCCGACAGCAGCATCATTTGGTTGGCGTCGTCACCGCCCGTCCCGAGCGGACACTTGTTGACGTACTGCCGGTTGCCTAGGAAGTGTCTCGGAAGTGTCTCGGAAGTGTCTCGGAAGTGGCACTTGTTGACGTACTGCCGGTTGCCCGCCGCCGGCCTCAGCTCGGCCGCCCCCATGTCGTCGAGCCACGTGTCCTCGTGGCCGACCAGCCTAATGAATGAACTAGTTGTAACTAGTTATGAATTAAGCCACGTGTCCTCGTGGCCGACGAGCCAGGGCTCGCGTCATCTCGGGTAATCTCGGGTAATCAGCCTGAAGAAGAGCTACGCGGTAGAGAGGGAGGGAGAGCAGCCACGTGCCCGAGGCTAGGCCAACCTTCTGGGCTGGATCTCGGCTGCCTCTCGGCTGCCTCTCGGCTGCCTCTCGGCTGCCTCTCGGCTGCCTCTCGGCTGCACCTCGGCTGCCTCTCGGCTGCCTCTCGGCTGCCTCTCGGCTGCCTCTCGGCTGCCTCTCGGCTGCCTCTCGGCTGCCTCTCGGCTGGCTCTCGGCTGGGTCTCGGCTCCCTCTCGGCTCCCTCTCTGTTGCATCAGTGGCCTCCACTCGTCCTCGAGCATGTCCGTCGCGTACTCGTTCGAGAAGCGAGTGGGGTGCTCCACCCACGCGCCTGAGCAGCGACGGAGTACACACATGACTCCGCCGTGCGAGGAGCGGGTGAAGAGAGTACAGCCCCACCGCCCGCGCGCCCGCGTAGCCAGACGATCCGCGGTGGCACCTCCCGTACACGTGGCCGCCTAATTAAGTAGCTTCATTCGTAAGTAATTGACTATCCCATTAAGCCCCGCCCGTACACGTGGCCGCCGCAGAGCAGCGCCACGATCTCTCGGTCGCCGAAGCCCATCCGGTAAAAGACCTACCACCACAGAGCCCGGTCCCACGTGAGACGACGGCCAACCACAGCCGCGCCTCCGGCCGGCGAAATGACTTCATCGCGGATGTGGCCGCACAGCTTCTGCCAGCCCGACGGCCTAAGAGAGCGGACACCCGACGAGCCGAGCAGAGGTGTGAACGGCGCCTCTTCACGGCTCCTCGTCACACGCGCCGCCTCGGCAGAGTGAGGGATGAACTCAGCGATTACTTGAGCAACTCAGCCGGACACGCCTGCCCGCCGCGTCGGCAGAGTCGTACGCGACGTACTTCTCGGCGCCAGGCAGCCTGCCGTGCCCTCCCCGCGGCATCGGGTTGCACCAGCCGCCAGCGAGCAGCTCGTGCTCGCCCTCCCAGTCGACCCGGCCGGGCCGAAAGGCAATCGACGGCCCTCCTGTTCACACGCCGAGCTGTGAACGGCGCCTCTTCACGGCTCCTCTTCACAGCGCGCGCCGGCGCGCCCGTGTGCTCGATGCCCACATACGCAGCCAGGACCCACAAGTCGCTGTAGGAGATGCCTGGAAACTTCCTCTTGACGGGCTCGAGGAAGGCGCGAGCCTTCGAAGGGCGGGCCGCGGCGCGTCGAGGGGAAGAAGAAGCTGTGCAGCAGTGTCTCCCGCCCACCTCCCGCCCACCTCCCGCCCACCTCCCGCCCCACCTCCCGCCCATCTCCCGCCCATCTCCCGCCCATCTCCGAGCAAGGCGCGCCGTGTGCAGCCCCGCATTCTCGCAGTCGGACGCCTCGGCATCAAAGCGCATCCCCGCGCCGTTTGAGCCGCCCGTGCCGCTCGCCTTGTCGCACGTATTAGAAAGGGTATTCTAGTATCGTTGTTGTACTGTTGTTGTTGACCGTCGCCTTGTGCGTGCCGCGATCACCCGAGATCAAGCCGAGATTCCCCGAGATTGTGCCTCGCCTTGTCGTACGTGCCGCTGGAGTGCCAGGCGAGGCGGATCAGGACCGGCGCGAGCGAGCCTAGGGTCAGGGTTTGGGTTAGGCGAGGGTCGGATGCAGCGAAGCGGAGCCAGATCTCGGCTAGATCTCGGCCGCATCTCGGCTAGATCTCGCCATCGTCCCATGATGGGTTGTCCATAAGCAGAGTGAGCTCGCGACGAATGTCCGCAAAGTACGCGTCGGCGAGCTCCGCGTACGGGCTGCCGGAGGCTGGCGCGGTGGCAGGAGCTACCTTCGAGACTGCCGCACTTCTGGGCTCGCACACTCCGGACTTGTGGCTGTCGCTGAAGCCTCCTCGCTTTGCGAGGTACTCGGCGAAGCTCTCAGCCTTGTGTATCGCTTGCTGCTTACCCTTGGGATCGCTCGGGTCGTAAACTGTTGGTGGCGGATCCCTTGTCGCTTCGCCACCGCCGAAGCCTTTGCCGCCGTGCTGCATCGTGACGCTGCGCGGCGACGCTGCGTAGCGTGCAACGTGAGTCACTGGAGTTGACGAGGACAGCCGGAGGCTCGAAAAGCCGGTGACGGTTAGCAGCAGAAGCATCATGGGCGCGACGATCGGCCAGCGAACCACCGCGGCCCCGGCCACACGGAGATGAGTGAAGTGTCTGAACGATATCGGTGTCGAAACACCGTCTGACAGCGCTCACAGCTGCAGACCGCGAGATCTATCTCGAGGTCTCTTGGAGCAGAACAGAGCCCCCCCCCCCCCCCAAAGCCCATACTGGCCCCTCGAGGGGTACCCTGGGTGGGCGGGGCCTCTACTCGCCAGGGGTCAAAGCACCCGGGTCTTCACATCAGCCCCCCTGACGCGGCCTCGGGTGGCGTGCGTGTGTGTGTGTCGGTCGGTGTGTGGGTGGGTGGCTAGCTCGACTAAGTAGAGCATCGAGGTTGATATCCTTTGGCCACGTTGGCAGCGAGGATTGGTGTGAGGCCGTTTTTTTGCCGTCGTATGCCGCCGGGGGACCGGCCGCGTGTATATGGTGTCCGTGTCCGCGACTCCGCGTATGTCTCGCGAGCCGCGTGTGTGCCTGTCGCCCCGCGTGTGGAGAGCACATCCAACCAGCCTTGAAAACGGAATAAAAGCGGGGGAATGGCCGAGTACTCGCTACGCTAACGCTGGTGCTCGCGGTGCTGCTCGCCGGATTCGCCGCGCAGCGCTCACCGCGATGGCAGCGGCCAGCAGCAGCAGGGCCACCACTAGCGTCGTCCCCGCAGCAGGAGCGTGGCCGCGGGCGTCCTCCAGCGCCGGCGCGGGCTCCGTTTGCTCTGCGGGCGAGGAGAAGCCTTGCGAAAAGGCTTGCCAGCTCTGCATCATGGCCTCGGCGGCGATGTGGGCAGTCTTGTTCAAGCGAGCGTTCAACTTGTCAAAGTGAATCACAACGGGCGATCGCGGCGACGCCGGCGGCGACGGCGGCTGCATCGAGAGCCCCGCGATCCAGTTTACGCTGCGAGCAAAGGGGTCGAAATCGTGCTCGTCGGAAAAGCGTATCGACTGGAGAAGAGAGTAGGACGAGGCTTGGTCGATGACCTGCGAGAGCTGATCGGAGAGGGTCTCGGCGTCTTCGAGACGGAAGCGCCAGTCATGCCTCGTGCCGCCAAGGATTGGCGTCGGGATGGGCTCTTCGTAGCTGTGGACGCCGTCGTCGGCGCGGCACATGTAGTGTGAGATACCGGCGGCCGAGGCGGCATGGACTCGCTCCCACAGCTCGTAGCGCGTGGCGTTGCTCACCCGCTGCTCGCGGCAGATGCGCTGCCACAAGTAGAACGACTGGCGCGGCGTGCGCGTCAAGTTCACGGTCGAACGGTTCACCGCGACGAGCCCAAACTTGGGGCAGTACCCGTCCGCCCACTCCCAGTTGTCTGAGAGCGTCCAGTGGATGTACCCTCGCACCCGGATGCCCGCCTTGCGCGCCGCTGCGATTGCGGCCAGGTGCTCGACGATGTAGGACCCACGCAAAATGTCCGTCGAGTCGGCGATGCCATTCTCAGTGATGATGTAGCCATAGCCTCCTGCGCTTTTGGGAGGGGTGCGAGCCTCGAAGAGCGCGTCGGGGTCGTCCTTGTAGCGGACGTGGAATGCGTTGAGCATGTCATACAGCCCGACCGGGTGGACGGAGCGGCCAGAGTCCGAGTATTCAACGTCCTTGCGCAGCGTCGGCGAGAAGCCATCTACAAGCTCTCGGCCATAATAGTTGATTCCGCAAAAGTCGAGCACGTCCTATATGCGTGTTTATTGGAGAATCTCTTCAAGCGCTCAAACTGCGCACGCGGCCCCGGCTGAGTCGAGTCCTTGATCCTGTCGATGAAGAGGAAGGAGTACATGTTGAAGGCGGCCGTCGGGAGAGAGTCTGCGTCCGCAGGCAACGTTACGAACGTCATGTGTGGCGTGAACGGTGGCGCTGCGGGACAAGGGTGGTCGGTGAGGGGCAGCTCGCTGGGGCGGTCGAGCACCCTTGAGCGCGTTGCTCGCTTGCGAGTACGAGGCGAGATGAGCAGTGCCGACGAGCGCGCGCTTGGTCAAAGAATCCTTGGCATGGATTAGATGGTAGACCTGTCGGTGCGCGGCGGCCATGTTGGCCTCCGCCTTGAGTGCCCCAGCGTGCGGGTTCATAAAGCAGTTCATCCGCGCGATGTTGGATTCGATTTCAGGGCCTGGAGGCCAGACGCCCTGGCAGTACGTCAGCATTGCAAAGACGTGGGGCTCATTCATGGGCACCCACATATCCACCAGATCCGCCAGTGTGTCAACCACGTCGCTTGCAAAAGCGACGAAATGGCGAATGGCGTTCTCGTCACCCCACATATCGCCCGCTGCCGCGCCTTCCGGCCCGGGATGGGGAGGAGTCATGCCCCATTTGGGAAACGAATGGTGGAAGAGGGAGATCATGCAGCTCATGTTGCGTGCACGGACCATGCCCACGATGTCGCGGTACCGCTGCAGCGCTGAGACGTCCTGAACACCGCAGGCATCCGTAGCACTCATCGAGCAGTTGGGCACGAGGCGGCCCCAGTCAACCCCAAGGCGATAGACCTTGATGCCCGTCTGAGCAGCCAGATCAAGCTCGACCTCGGGCCGGCTCCAGAACTGCAGCCGTTCATCAGGCTGCCCTCGGCTCTTCCACGCTTGGACGTGCCCGTCCTCTGCAAACTGCCTCCAGGCGTCGTCGAGGCTGTCCTCTGCGTGCCCGGGCGCGGTCCCAAGGCCGAAGAAGAAGTCGCCGGTCAGATCGACGTCCTGCGCGACGGCGCGAGCGAGCAGCAACAGGAGGAGCGACCGCCGAGCGGCCGCTCTCGCGCAGAGGCTCTCGCCTCGTCGCATTGTGTGCATTGGACGGTCGAGTTGGCGAAGCTTCGACGGTGTGCGGCGTTTTCTTTTAGTGCGAGGCTGCGGCGGCTACCGCTGCTTCTGCCGCTGTTGCTGCCTCTGCTGCGGCTGCTCACGTGCGCGGTGGAGCGCAGCCTCCCTCTCCGGCTGCGCGCCTGACCGGTGCGGCCTCCAGGTCGGCGTCTAGCGGGAAAATTAGAGAGAAACCAGGGACAGAAGGCTCATCACCACTTGAGGGGGCGAGACGGCTCATCCTGAAGAAACCGCGAATTCAGCGGCGCGACCAGCCGCTATCTCGTTGTGCTCCTCAATATGCTCCGCGAACTACTCGCCCGGCTCGCGTTCTTGTGTCCCAGTCTCATAACTCTCTCTTTGGCGACCCAGGGCAGTGTGGGTAATGCTGCAGGGCCTCTTCCCAGGCGTCCGGAGCTCGTGCTGCGAGGTGGCGTGCAGCCCGCGTCTGTCGCGGAGAAGCCGGCGTCTTTCGCGGAGAAACCGGCGACGCCGTCGCCCAGAAATCTCTCAACGATAGATGTCGAGACGAACGCGACTCAGCCAGCGGGTCAGTCAGAGGGGCTGACTGCGTCTCAGCCGAAAAGAAGGCAGGCAAAACCGAGGCCCGCCTTCGGAGCCCGAGATGCTGTCGCTGCGGCCCTCGGACTCTCGGCTGCAGGTGCAGCGCAGTGGTGCTGCAGTACAAACCTCATGGCGGCGATGATGGCCTTTGTACCAACACACGTGAGGAAGCCGGTCTGGTGCCTCGGTTCCGGCACGCTCGCCGCAGCCCTTCTTCTGCTTGTGCGCATCACCAACCCTTCCCGGGCCGTCGTTATCAACAGCGTGCTCTCAAAGCTCGTGCTCAACAGGGAGAGCCGGTCGACTCTTCCCTCCCTCGCATTCGTCTTCATCCTCGGCATAATCGCCGCGATCAAAGCGCTTCCCGCGTATGACTTGAAGCTGCTCTGGGCGAGTCTCAGCTCGCTCGCTGTCGTCGTGGGCGCCGCTGCCATCAAGTTTGGCAAGAGGCCGAGCTTTGCCGAGCTGGTTGAGTGGGCCTTTGATTCGATCGCCTCGTCGGCGTCTTCGTCGGTGAGCAGGTGATAAGCTAAGGCCGCCACTATACCGCAGTGCCGCCACTAGCACAGAGGATGCGACGTTGTGACGACGCCTTCGCCCTCCCTTGCCCCACCACTTGGTGTGTGGTGTGGGGTCAGTGGTGTGCTTTCTCATGAATAGAAGCCGGACACCACTACAATCACAAATAGCACCACTACAATCACAAATAGCACCAGACACGGCCTCGCCCAATTCTCTCCTCCAAAAAAAAAAGCTGCGTGGAGACATTGTATACGGCCCTTTCCTGTCACGTCAGAGTGGCCCGCCCCAACGCGCTTGTGCGCGAAACTCCTACGAAAAGCCTCTGCAGCGCCCGCTCCAGTATGGGCACGAACTAGCATCGCATCTACGAAGACAGCCTCTCCAGCGCCCGCTCCAGGATGGACACGATCTGCGCGAAGTCCGGGCGCTGTGACGGCTCCGACGCCCAGCCCGCAGACATGAGGGCTTGCACCTCGGCCGGCCACTTGCCGAGCGGGCAGCGCAGGTCGCCGCGGCAGACTCGATCGAGGTAGAGCTCAGGCGTGAGGTGGGAAAAGGGCCTCCGCCGCGAAAGCACATGGTAGAGGACCGAGGTGAAGGAGAATGCCTCCGCCTTGCGGTTGTAGGGCATGTACAGCGCGACCTCGGGCGCCATGTAGCGCAGTGAGCCGGTCATGCCCGTGAGGGCCCGCTGCTCGTCGTCATCCCGCGCCGTATGGGCGCGCCGCCATAGCGTGGCGAGCCCAAAATCGGTGAGCAGCACCCGGCCGTCAGACGTCATAGAAGTACATGCGGTTTGACTTCGTCGACGGCAGCGGCCAGCCAGTCGTGCTGAGCGAGTTCTTCTTCACCTACTACGACCTTGACCAGGAGACGGACCTGCCGTCTGGGGCGGAGTCGCTCACGGCGAGCGGCTTCGTCAAGTACGACGTCGACCCCAACACGGAGCTCGACATCAGCACCGCGCCAGACGGCTCCGTCACCTTCTCCTCCACCAGGCAAGGGACGCTGGACGACAACCCGACCGACCCACTGTCACTGACGTCGGAGCAGCTCTCACGCTCGGTGACGCTCTGGTATCGCGACACATCGACGGTCACGTTGACCTACTCGACGACCGCGGCCACATGCACCCCCACCCCGTGTGGCGGCCGCAACTTCCTCTTTGCAGGCGTCAATCCGTTCCCCGTCGTTGACCCATGCTGCCTTTCGCCGCGGGAGCCACCGCCCTTCCCAGCACCGCAACCGCCGCCTCCGCCCCCATTACCTGTACCGCCGTCTTCTCCTTGCATTTGTGCTTCGGACGAGACGCACAACCTGATGGACTTCAGCCTGGCGACGCTGCAGAACAACAACCTCGGCGGCGCCGGCCCCGACCCGGACGACTCCCTGGAGAACATGCACCTCGCATCAGTCGGGATGACGGCCGACGGCGAGTCTTTTGACCTGATCATCACCAGCGAGACGGAGTACGTGCCGCGCAATGCCGCGAACCACAACCGCATCAACGGCGCGGTCCCGCAAATCAACCTCGGGCAAAACGAGACCGTGACGCTGCGATTTGACTTCGTCGACGGCAGCGGCCAGCCAGTCGTGCTGAGCGAGTTCTTCTTCACCTACTACGACCTTGACCAGGAGACGGACCTGCCGTCAGGGGCGGAGTCGCTCACGGCGAGCGGCTTCGTCAAGTACGACGTCGACCCCAACACGGAGCTCGACATCAGCACCGCGCCAGACGGCTCCGTCACCTTCTCCTCCACCAGGCAAGGGACGCTGGACGACAACCCGACCGACCCACTGTCACTGACGTCGGAGCAGCTCTCACGCTCGGTGACGCTCTGGTATCGCGACACATCGACGGTCACGTTGACCTACTCGACGACCGCGGCCACATGCACCCCCACCCCGTGTGGCGGCCGCAACTTCCTCTTTGCAGGCGTCAATCCGTTCCCCGTCGTTGACCCATGCTGCCTTTCGCCGCGGGAGCCACCGCCCTTCCCAGCACCGCAACCGCCGCCTCCGCCCCCATTACCTGTACCGCCGTCTTCTCCTTGCATTTGTGCTTCGGACGAGACGCACAACCTGATGACTTTCGGCCTGGCGACGCTGCAGACAAACAACCTCGGCGGCGCCGGCCCCGACCCGGACGACTCCCCGGAGAACATGCACCTCGCATCAGTCGGGATGACGACCGACGGCGAGTCTTTTGACCTGATCATCACCAGCGAGACGGAGTACGTGCCGCGCAATGCCGCGAACCACAACCGCATCAACGGCGCGGTCCCGCAAATCAACCTCGGGCAAAACGAGACCGTGACGCTGCGGTTTGACTTCGTCGACGGCAGCGGCCAGCCAGTCGTGCTGAGCGAGTTCTTCTTCACCTACTACGACCTTGACCAGGAGACGGACCTGCCGTCAGGGGCGGAGTCGCTCACGGCGAGCGGCTTCATCAAGTACGACGTCGACCCCAACACGGAGCTCGACATCAGCACCGCGCCAGACGGCTCCGTCACCTTCTCCTCCACCAGGCAAGGGACGCTGGACGACAACCCGACCGACCCACTGTCACTGACGTCGGAGCAGCTCTCACGCTCGGTGACGCTCTGGTATCGCGACACATCGACGGTCACGTTGACCTACTCGACGACCGCGGCCACATGCACCCCCACCCCGTGTGGCGGCCGCAACTTCCTCTTTGCAGGCGTCAATCCGTTCCCCGTCGTTGACCCATGCTGCCGTTCGCCGCGGGAGCCACCGCCCTTCCCAGCACCGCAACCGCCGCCTCCGCCCCCATTACCTGTACCGCCGTCTTCTCCTTGCATTTGTGCTTCGGACGAGACGCACAACCTGATGGACTTCAGCCTGGCGACGCTGCAGAACAACAACCTCGGCGGCGCCGGCCCCGACCCGAACGACTCCCTGGAGAACATGCACCTCGCATCAGTCGGGATGACGGCCGACGGCGAGTCTTTTGACCTTATCATCACCAGCGAGACGGAGTACGTGCCGCGCAATGCCGCGAACCACAACCGCATCAACGGCGCGGTCCCGCAAATCAACCTCGGGCAAAACGAGACCGTGACGCTGCGATTTGACTTCGTCGACGGCAGCGGCCAGCCAGTCGTGCTGAGCGAGTTCTTCTTCACCTACTACGACCTTGACCAGGAGACGGACCTGCCGTCAGGGGCGGAGTCGCTCACGGCGAGCGGCTTCATCAAGTACGACGTCGACCCCAACACGGAGCTCGACATCAGCACCGCGCCAGACGGCTCCGTCACCTTCTCCTCCACCAGGCAAGGGACGCTGGACGACAACCCGACCGACCCACTGTCACTGACGTCGGAGCAGCTCTCACGCTCGGTGACGCTCTGGTATCGCGACACATCGACGGTCACGTTGACCTACTCGACGACCGCGGCCACATGCACCCCCACCCCGTGTGGCGGCCGCAACTTCCTCTTTGCAGGCGTCAATCCGTTCCCCGTCGTTGACCCATGCTGCCTTTCGCCGCGGGAGCCACCGCCCTTCCCAGCACCGCAACCGCCGCCTCCGCCCCCATTACCTGTACCGCCGTCTTCTCCTTGCATTTGTGCTTCGGACGAGACGCACAACCTGATGGACTTCAGCCTGGCGACGCTGCAGAACAACAACCTCGGCGGCGCCGGCCCCGACCCGGACGACTCCCTGGAGAACATGCACCTCGCATCAGTCGGGATGACGACCGACGGCGAGTCTTTTGACCTGATCATCACCAGCGAGACGGAGTACGTGCCGCGCAATGCCGCGAACCACAACCGCATCAACGGCGCGGTCCCGCAAATCAACCTCGGGCAAAACGAGACCGTGACGCTGCGATTTGACTTCGTCGACGGCAGCGGCCAGCCAGTCGTGCTGAGCGAGTTCTTCTTCACCTACTACGACCTTGACCAGGAGACGGACCTGCCGTCAGGGGCGGAGTCGCTCACGGCGAGCGGCTTCGTCAAGTACGACGTCGACCCCAACACGGAGCTCGACATCAGCACCGCGCCAGACGGCTCCGTCACCTTCTCCTCCACCAGGCAAGGGACGCTGGACGACAACCCGACCGACCCACTGTCACTGACGTCGGAGCAGCTCTCACGCTCGGTGACGCTCTGGTATCGCGACACATCGACGGTCACGTTGACCTACTCGACGACCGCGGCCACATGCACCCCCACCCCGTGTGGCGGCCGCAACTTCCTCTTTGCAGGCGTCAATCCGTTCCCCGTCGTTGACCCATGCTGCCTTTCGCCGCGGGAGCCACCGCCCTTCCCAGCACCGCAACCGCCGCCTCCGCCCCCATTACCTGTACCGCCGTCTTCTCCTTGCATTTGTGCTTCGGACGAGACGCACAACCTGATGGACTTCGGCCTGGCGACGCTGCAGAACAACAACCTCGGCGGCGCCGGCCCCGACCCGGACGACTCCCCGGAGAACATGCACCTCGCATCAGTCGGGATGACGACCGACGGCGAGTCTTTTGACCTGATCATCACCAGCGAGACGGAGTACGTGCCGCGCAATGCCGCGAACCACAACCGCATCAACGGCGCGGTCCCGCAAATCAACCTCGGGCAAAACGAGACCGTGACGCTGCGGTTTGACTTCGTCGACGGCAGCGGCCAGCCAGTCGTGCTGAGCGAGTTCTTCTTCACCTACTACGACCTTGACCAGGAGACGGACCTGCCGTCAGGGGCGGAGTCGCTCACGGCGAGCGGCTTCATCAAGTACGACGTCGACCCCAACACGGAGCTCGACATCAGCACCGCGCCAGACGGCTCCGTCACCTTCTCCTCCACCAGGCAAGGGACGCTGGACGACAACCCGACCGACCCACTGTCACTGACGTCGGAGCAGCTCTCACGCTCGGTGACGCTCTGGTATCGCGACACATCGACGGTCACGTTGACCTACTCGACGACCGCGGCCACATGCACCCCCACCCCGTGTGGCGGCCGCAACTTCCTCTTTGCAGGCGTCAATCCGTTCCCCGTCGTTGACCCATGCTGCCGTTCGCCGCGGGAGCCACCGCCCTTCCCAGCACCGCAACCGCCGCCTCCGCCCCCATTACCTGTACCGCCGTCTTCTCCTTGCATTTGTGCTTCGGACGAGACGCACAACCTGATGGACTTCAGCCTGGCGACGCTGCAGAACAACAACCTCGGCGGCGCCGGCCCCGACCCGAACGACTCCCTGGAGAACATGCACCTCGCATCAGTCGGGATGACGGCCGACGGCGAGTCTTTTGACCTTATCATCACCAGCGAGACGGAGTACGTGCCGCGCAATGCCGCGAACCACAACCGCATCAACGGCGCGGTCCCGCAAATCAACCTCGGGCAAAACGAGACCGTGACGCTGCGATTTGACTTCGTCGACGGCAGCGGCCAGCCAGTCGTGCTGAGCGAGTTCTTCTTCACCTACTACGACCTTGACCAGGAGACGGACCTGCCGTCAGGGGCGGAGTCGCTCACGGCGAGCGGCTTCATCAAGTACGACGTCGACCCCAACACGGAGCTCGACATCAGCACCGCGCCAGACGGCTCCGTCACCTTCTCCTCCACCAGGCAAGGGACGCTGGACGACAACCCGACCGACCCACTGTCACTGACGTCGGAGCAGCTCTCACGCTCGGTGACGCTCTGGTATCGCGACACATCGACGGTCACGTTGACCTACTCGACGACCGCGGCCACATGCACCC